TCTGACTTTCACTTCGATTGCACTGGGGACACGTGTGCTGAGCGCACTGGGACGCTGATTTCCTCTGTGCGTCCCCCTTCCGTCGCCGCGCAGTCGGCCCTGCTCCTCCTGCCCGTCGCTCCCGCTCCCAGGGTGACCTGTGACCTCCACCTGGCGTAAGCTCAGCCCCCAGGCTTCGCCACTGGCCGTTTGGGCTGCCTGCTCCCCTTTCCCAGGCGACTGGTCTCCATCTCGTTTCCCAGCGAACTCCTACTGTCTGCCCATCTCCCCAGGAACACGTCAGGTGCCTCTGAGGGTGCGAGCTGCACATACAGGGGCCTCGCGTGCGCGGCTTCAGTCAGCAGCCAAAATGGCCACAGGGAGCGTGTTTACAGCACGGAAATACCACGTTCCACAGATCAGGGGCTCTGCACACCCAGCCCCCAAACCACGGGTGGCCATCAGCCTCCTTCTCGTGGGCCCCAGAGCAGCCCAGAACTGGGCCAGGGTGATGCTTCATAAGTATTTTTCAGTGGATGTAAGAAAACACTGCAGATTGCTGTATCTCAACCCCAGCCTCCAGGTCACCACCGCCTGCTGACCGACGCCCCCTGTGGGCTACCACGGACCTCGGGTGCCCAGCCCGCCTCACGCGGCGGGTTCAGCAGATGCTTGTCTGTTTGCTGGCCCATGGAGAGAAGCTGTCCGATGGATGCCAAACTTCACAGTTCAGACTTCGACCTGAGTGTGTTTCAAACGTTTATCCTGCTTGGTTCTCACTTTCCACAGGTTGTAAGAAAAGCTTACATATTGGGAAGTGCGGTTCCTGGACTCAAGAAGGTGACTGTTTCGCCTTTTCCCCTCGGTTCCAGAGTCTCAAGAGGCGGCGGTGGGAGAGATGGGGCCCTGGCGCGGCCAAGCTCAGGGAGCCTGCCTGGAGCCTGCAGCACCTCCAGAGCCCCGAGGACGTCGAACCAGACACACGGCTGTTCCCAGAGCACCCTCCCCAGCCCCGGTCTCCGGAGTCAGACTGCCTGGAGCTGCCAGAGACTTGCCAGGCGGGACGTTGTCACAAGAGAACCTCGTGCCAGCAATGCCCAGGCTGGGACTGGGGTGGTACCAGGAGAGGCCAAGCCTGAGCCCGGGAATGCTGGGCCTCCTTCCTCACGTGAGGTCGGCACCTTGTCGTGCCGTTCATGGAGCCACCGGAAGGCGACGCAATTTGATTCATTCGGCTCTTGGTGACCAGCAGGGCTGGGACCTCGCTGAGCTTGTCAGACGGCCATCAATCTGGCAGCGTGCGTCTCCGAGTGGGCCTGTGGCCCTCCGGACCCCTCAGAGCCCGAGGGGCTCACCCACCGCAGTGCGAAGCTGTGCAGGCCTGGGGGAGTCAGAGCCAGAGTCCTAGCGGTTGTCTCTACGGGGGCAGAGCTCTGCTCCGGGTCTGTGTCAGGACCGTGGCCGCAGGCAGGAGCCAGAGGTGCCGTGAAATGGTGCCCATGGAAGTGTGTTCCCAGGGCCAGGTGGCGCTGGACGCACCGTGGGCCGCACCCCTGCTGCACACCCCTGAACTAGAGGGTCCGCAGTAGCCTCCTCCAGCAGGTTAAGAGTTTCAGTGCCCCATCGCCCAGCAGGTTCGTTAGGGGAGGCTCAGCACCGTGCCGGGCTGGAGGGCACCCTGCTCAGCCCTGCCCTGCACAGGGCTGGGGTTCCAACCCCAAATAACCAGGTGAGTGGAGCTAGTCGGCCCGCCCGCAGGCTGGACTCCTTCCTGAGCTCGGCGCTGCGCTCCTCGAAGGCGTGGGACCCCAGACCCGCGTCCTGGCCAGAGCGCTGCCCTTTGCCCTCTGGGAGAATCGGTGATAATAGAAGCGCATCCAAAGCCACGTGGTTTTTGTGTGGCTTTGCTTATTTATTTGGTTGTTGTTTTCTGTCTCCTTCCGTTTTCCTGGGAACATCTCTCGCGTTCCTGGCTGACGCGGCGGCCAGCCCTCCCAGCGTGCGCAGGGAAGCCTCCCACACTCAGTGTAATTAGAAGTCAATTAACGGGGAACCCTCGTGGTGTTCCTGGAAGTCCTTCGAGCGGCAGCTTGCCTGGGAGAGCCTCTGGCCTGACCCAGCGGGTTCCCTGCTCTGCTCCCCACGGTCGGGGGAAAGGCCAGTGTCCTCGCGGTGCTTGCTTCTGTGCCCCGTTCGGCCTCTGTGTGCCCCTCCCTGCCCACCTGCCCGCCCCGGCTTGCGCCCTGCCGGAAGGACGCACCAGGATCCCACCAGGATGTCCGGGCGCTGAGCTCACCTCCGTCCAGGTCGCGTCCTTCCAGCGTGAGCAGGTACTGAGGTGCAGGACGGTGCTGGGAGTGCAGAAGGCAGCTTCGTCTCTCTGCAAGAATTCCCGAGACCTCACCCTCCCTCAGAGGCGGGTGAATTGTTCACCAGTGGAGGGACCAGGAGGCCGAGGCAACAGAGCCCGGAGGGAGCTCCCCTGGGAGAGGCCCAGACCCTGGGCGTCCACCCAGCTGTCCTCCAAACAGAGATGTGCTTCTCCCCAAGGAACTGTGCTCCCTGCCTTTCCGGTCAGAGCTCACAGGTGCTGGTCCCAGTCTCTCTGACGGGAGGACTGTATGGAGAGGGGTGTCCTGCCCTGGCCAGTGCGCTCAGTGGTTAGAGTGCCGGCCCTCGGACCAAAGAGTTGCGGGTTTGATTCTGGTCAAGGGCACGTACCTCGGCTGCGGTTCATCCCCGGCCCTGGTCAGCGTCGTGCGGGAGGCAGCCAGTCGGTGTGTCTCTCTCATCCGTGTTTCTCTCCCTCTCCATCTCTCCCACTCTGTCTGAAGACGGATGGGAAAATAGCCTCGAGTGAGGATTGAAAAAGGAAGGGAATGTTCCCCGTACCTCCCCTCAATCCGTAGAACCCCACGATTTTATGCCCTGCCAAAAACTCTCTGTTGGAAATGCAGTAACTGCAGACCTGTTTCTGGCACACAGAAACTTTCACCAACACGCGGGTTGTCCACGGGGTTCCTTCCCGTGTGGGCCCCACACCAGGTTCCATCAAAGTTTGTTAGTTGTGATGATGAGTCAGCAGAAGGCTTGGTTCTACCAGGCTCTTCCTGTGGAGGTGTGGGTGCTTGCTGCTCTCGCAGGGCGGAAGGGGTGCGGTGGGCAGACAGGCACCCCGGGGCGGGAGCCAGGGCCCTGCTCTCTGAAGGTGGCGGGGCTGAGAGGCCAGCAAACTCGGAGCTCTCGGGGCCGTCCCCCCCTCCCCATCCCCCCCCGCCCCGTCCTCCCCGCCCCGTCCCCACCTCCCCGTCCCCACCTCCCCATCCCGTCCCCACCTCCCCGTCCCCACCTCCCCGTCCTCCCCGCCCCGTCCCCACCTCCCCGTCCCCACCTCCCCATCCCCACCTCCCCGTCCTCCCCGCCCCATCCCCACCTCCCCTTCCCCACCTCCCCATCCCCCCCGCCCCTTCCCCACCTCCCCGTCCCCACCTCCCCATCCCCCCCCACCCCGTCCCCACCTCCCTGTCCTCCCCGCCCCGTCCCCACCTCCCCGTCCTCCCCGCCCCGTCCCCACCTCCCGTCCTCCCCACCCCGTCCCCACCTCCCCGTCCCCACCTCCCCATCCCCACCTCCCCATCCCCCCCGCCCCTTCCCCACCTCCCCGTCCCCACCTCCCCATCCCCCCCCCACCCCGTCCCCACCTCCCTGTCCTCCCCGCCCCGTCCCCACCTCCCCGACCTCCCCGCCCCGTCCCCACCTCCCCGACCTCCCCGCCCCGTCCCCACCTCCCCGTCCTCCCCACCCCGTCCCCACCTCCCCGTCCCCACCTCCCCATCCCCACCGCCGTCCCCACCGCCCCGTCCTGGGGAGGCGGGTTAGGAAGGAGGCCAGTCTGCACACTCCAGGAGGCGACTTGTCCTCAGCACCCCCAGCCAGCACCCCTGACGGGCCCTGGCCCAGCCTGCACAGCCCTCCTTGGTCCCCAGACTTAGCTTCCTGTTTCCACTACGTAACCTCTCGGCTGCCTTTCCCCTCGCGCCCTAGGATGTTGTAGTGTCAAGGCAAAGTTCAGGTCTCCATCCCAAGACAAGAATGGTTTTCCACTTACCATTTGTGTTCTGTGCAGCCGTTTGGGGGTGGAATTTGGGGATGATGGGTTTCCCTGGCCAAATGGCTCCCTGAGAACACCTGGGTTCATGGGCGCCGCATGGTCTGAGTCATGGTGGATTCTAATGGGTCCTCCTGTGACCCCGCTGTTCTGTCCCTAATCCACCCCTCTGTCCGGCATGGGCCCCTGGGGAACTGGGGTGCTCACCGAGCGCCCGGCTCACTTTGCGTGGGAGCCCCGGTGACAGTGCTCTGAGCTGGACACGCCTCCCGTCTGAAAGCGCAGAAGTGAGGGCCCCCCCTTCGACGCCGCGCTGGCTCGGTGGTTGGAGGAGGCGCCTGAATGCCGGCCTGCGCACCCTCTGTCCGTGAGCTAACTGTGTGACCTCGGGCAAGGCCCACCCTCTCTGGTCTCAGTTCACCTGTGAAGTTCCGTGGTGGGACTGATGCAGTCACTTTGACAGGTGGCCCAGTCCTCACGGAGAGAGGGCCAGGCCTCAGGGGCCGGGAGAGCAGGAAGGGGTGGGAGGGGCTGCTCTGATTCCTGGCACTGTCTCTGGGCCCCTGCAGCCAGGGGACCCCACAAGCCGGAGCACAGGTGCCAGGGCTCGTCAGACTCTCCGGTGGTGGAGCGCGTGGTCCTTGCCCGCTGGCTGTGGCCTGCAGTGCGCTCTGGGCCCTCCCTCTGGGGCGGTTTCCAGGGATGCTGTGCTGTTGGGACGATGATGGAGTCAGGCCCAGGGGCCTGGGCTCAGCTTAAATCTGCCTTTCTTTCGGACATATCTGTCCCTCTTTCTGTTTGCAGGCTGGTCCTTCGGGCACAGTGGGACACAGTGAAGGGACCTGGAGTAGCCTGGGGCCCTGCAGGCCGCTCTCCTGACGGAGTGTGTCTTTCAGGTGAACCTGTGGGAGAGGATGGCCCCCAGGGGAGACTCCAGACAGATGCCCTGGCTCCCCATCCTGGTGGTAAGTGGGTCAGAGCACCAGCCTGCCCTGCCCCCTGGCAGGGGAGACCCCAGCAGGACCCCCATCCGGGCTGGGTCCTTCACCAGACACACTTCCTCGGACAGCCTCCTGGGCCTACGCCTCAGTTTACAAGGCTGTCGAATGGGAACAACACTGAGATCCTCTGCAGAGGCAGAGGTAGTGCCTGCAGCCCCTGAACGGCGCCCAGTATAAACGGGACTTCCCTGGCCGGTGGCTCCCTTTATCGGGTTCACGGATAGAAATGTCTTTAAATGCTTATTCACACTGTGACATACACAACCAAGCCTGTGTGATGAGCTACACCTGTGGGCCACACAGCGGAGACAGGTCCAAGGCGTCCCCACGGGGCCTTCCTGGGGGAGGGGAGGCACACGGCCGAGGGTCCTGCTGCACCCAAGGAAGGAGAAAGACGACCTGGGTGAAGCAAGTTTGGATCAGGCGGAAGGGAGGGCGAGGAGAGGCAGGGGGGAGGGAGGCTGAGGAAGCAGGGTGACCTGCCCCGTTTATCGGCGGACGTTCCCCGACACGGCAGCCGCTGAGCCCTGGCTGGCTGCCTGGGCACTGACCCCGGGGAGCTGTCTTCACGGAGGCATGGAAGCCAAACACCCATTTCTTGTGGCAGGTGTCTCTGATGTGCTCAAGCAGAGCAGAACACTCCAGCTGTGGCGAGAACGAGTACTACAACCAGACCACGGGGCTGTGCCATGAGTGTCCCCAGTGCGGGCCGGGCGAGGAGCCGCACCTGGTAAGGCCCCTGCCGGCCACCCGCCCGCCACACCGCGTGTGCTCTCCATGTGGTCCCCCGCTAACGCAGCGCCCGGTGTGCCTGGTGGGCCTGCGTGCCCAGCACTCGGGCGCCCAGAGACCGAGGCGTGACCCTGTGCTCACCCACGTCCTCTGTCCTCTTCCTCGGCCAGTCCTGTGGCTACGGCACCAAAGACGAGGACTACGGCTGCATCCCCTGCCCGGCAGAGAAGTTTTCCAAAGGAGGCTACCAGATATGCAGGCGGCACAAAGACTGCGAGGGCTTCTTCAGGGCCACCGTGCTGATGCCGGGGGACGTGGAGAACGACGCGGAGTGTGGGCCTTGTCTCCCTGGGTAAGCGTGGGTGCTGCCGGGCCGCAGCCCCGGACACAGTCCACAGAGAGCCCTGGGGGCTGCTGGTGAGGGCCTGGCACATGCCCGCCTCGGGCTGCAGCGTGACACCCCTCCTGCTGCTTGGCACGTGCTGGGAGGGGCAGCATGGCACACAGGAGGCCCGTGTCTGCAGTAAGGCACGTGGCATCCAGGATGGTGAGTTCGGCCACCTTTCACGAGCAGGCAGCCCGCCCAGGCTCCCTTCTCTGTTCTTTAAGTCAACGTCAGTTATAACACCTTCTCACTACTCAAAGCAGACGAATTTATTGACTGCTTACAATGAGATAACACATGTGGAATGCTTGCAGAAAAACACTAAAATTCCATGCAAACACATTATTTTTAGTATTCCGGAAAAAACCAAGGGTAAAAGCCACTGATAGGAATATTTGAGTCATATGGTACCTATAATTTCACCACAATTCTGTTATGTATCAAAAGTCTTCCCCCAAAAAAGCAAAGTGCAAATGTAATTAGCCTGAAAGACAGAAGGATAAAAATCTTCCTTGGTACAGGCAGGACATACTAGCAAGTCCCCCTTGAGATGAAGGTACAGCCAGGCGCCCAGTGAACACCACGCTTCCACGGTGCTGCTGCCTCCCTCTAGTGGCCACACAACATAACGCTTGCAAGGGCTGCTCAGGAACCAAAAGCAGTGGTGAAAGCTAAAGAGAGGTCACAGAGGTGGTGGCACTGGTGATGCTGGGGGCGGTGGTGCTGGGGGCGGCGGTGCTGGGGGCGGCGAGGATGTTGGTCACGCTGGCAGTGGTATTCTGAATAGTACGCTGTGCTTTACAACCTGCGTGTTTACATGTTGTCTCACTGTACTGAATTGAGAGGAGGAAGAATACATTCAAATGAGAACACTGGGCATTAGTCTATAAGACAAAGAAAGTACAAAAAAGGCAAAAAGTCCCACCAACTGAAGAACAGATGGAAAGTGAATAACTCCTTAAAATGAGGAGATTTTTGAACTCACAGATATTGACCTGAGTTCAACTCTGTTACTGAGAAGCATCCGTTTCCATGGTTTCACCACCGTCTCTGCTGGTGACCTGCCCCCACCTCCAGTCTCCCAAGTTGTCTGTCTTCAGTTCAGACCCACTTCCTGAGCGACAGACCTACATCTCCAAACACCCGAGGGACAACCCCTGTCAATGTCCCTCACACAGAGTGTGATTCAAACATATCTTTCAAATGAATAAAGAAAGGGGACCTTATTGCAGAGCCTTATTTTTTATATGCAAAAACAAACAAACAAAAACCAGGTAGCTATATCCAGGGAAGATATTAAACTGTTCTCTTAGAAAATGTGATAAAACAGAAGTTCTTCGGCTGGGTGCTCTGCAGTTTAGTTGTTGAGGTCACCGCGCTGCGGGGGACCCACCAGAAGGAGCAGAATCAGTGTATTCCAGTTCCACCCAGGGTGCAGGCAGCCGCCGAGGGGCTGCTCTGGGCCGACACTGTGCTCGAATGAGAGAAATTCTGTAGGATCTTGACACTCGATGGCTAGGACCCGTCTCGATAATTTATATAGTCCCTGGAACTTTCTCCTGGTTGTTTTTATTGGTGCAGTACATCACGCATGAAAGAAATGCAGAGTGTCATGGATTGACTGGACGTGCCAAGGAAAATCATGCTCCCCTTGGGAAGAAAATAACCCTGTGTGCAAACCCTCAACTCCTTTTGTGAGCCTGTCAGTATAGACTCTGACTGACATTCACAGCCTCGCATAGCAGCCCCCACACTTATCGTAGCAAACCTCTGAGTTAAGAGTCTAACAGCCAAGTACCAGTGAGACAGAGAGGAAAGACTTCCCAGTGGAGGAGAGACAGGAAAATCCGTGACCACACGTGGGGCACACAGTGCTGGAGACGTCCAGGAAGGGCCGTTGCCTGTGGTTGGGACAAGGAGGGGTCTTCGAGGACATCTGAGGGTGATGCTGGATGGGTGGGCGTCAGCCAGGCTGAGAAGGGGAACAGATCTCTCCAAGCAGAGGTGCCCAACCAAAGCCCAAAGGGGGACAGTCTGGCAGAACGCAGAGCGGGGAGCCCTGCAGCCAAACAGAGGGCAGGCAGCTGGATTGGAGAAACAGTGAGGAAAGAGGCCCGAGGGAAAGGACTCTGGGGAACGGTGCTGATGTGTAAGCTGGTGTAGGACAAGCCGGAAGAGGACCCTCTGGCAGCAGTGAAGATGAGCACTGTGGAGCAGGGAAGAGACGGGAGCCTGGGAACAGGGGCAAGGGGAGCCTGAGGACCAGGGCCAGGCGAGAGTACTGGGGCTGGAGGGACAGGAAAGGTTCAAGAGCTTGCTGGGAGGGGGCAGAGACTTGATGCGGACTGCATGCATGTGGGATTCAGGAAGGAGATTCCGAAGAGGATTCTCAGCTGTCTGCCTCAGCCAGCTGTGTGGACAGTGAGGCCATCTGCTAAGAACACAGAGGAAGGAGAACTTCGGTGGGGAGGTGGAGGGGAACTTGTGGAACTTGAAGTCGTCGTTATATGCAGACCAAGGTATCTAACATATGGGCAGATAAACAGAAACGAAACTCAGGTGGGATCTGTAGGTCACCTCCCCACTGATGGTGTGGGAACGACTGTCCAAATGGGCTCACCCAGTAAGGTAGCAGAGGAGGAGGGGTGGGCGGAGCCTGCAGGAGGGTGGGCGGAGCCGGCCCATCAGCATGGCTGCCTGACCCAGCTGCACCTGGGCCCCAAGGAGGTCTGTGAGACAGCCAGGCTGTGTTCCAGGTGGTCTGAAAGGGGCAGCAGCTGCACACTGAGCAGCCTGTTTCATTCCTACTTGGACCCACAGGGACTTTCCAGGGAAGGGGACAAGCCCTGGGACCAGTGCCGTCAGTGGCCTGTCCCTGGACAAGGACCAGCTCGGTCTCCATGGCAGCGAAGACAGCCGGCTCGGTACCAATGCATGTGCCAGGGAGAAGTGAGACAGTGGGGTGATCACAGCTCCTGCCTCTAGAAGGCTTCGAAAGATACGGACAACAGTCTGTAGGAGTCGTGGGGAGCCGGCGTCTGCACTTTTTCAGGGTCTCTCCAGCCTGAAACCTTGAGTAACTGCCCTGCTCCATGAAACAGTGACCCGCTGCTCCCAGTGACCTGGTCTCCAGGACGAGCCCGGAGCACCTGAGTGTGAGGGGCTGTGAGTAGACGCCCCGCACGCTCATCACTCCCGGATGCAGAGGGTGCAGTCGGTGTCCAAGTGGCTCTGTGCTGTAGTATGACTTCATCTAAGTCGCTCCCAACCCCACGGCCAAGGCAGTGAGGCCGCTCCTTGACCCCCAAGCTGCTCACGCTGGCCATGGTCAGCACAGCGCCTTCCCAGGGCAGGACCCAAGCCCCGCCTCCTGTTACCTGCCCTGGGCTTGGAGAGCAACCGAAGCTCTCGGGCTGGGTCACCAAGCAGGGTCACCGACGTTTGGGCAAGTTGGAGCGATCCGCCCGTGAAAGGCTGTTCCCATCCGCGTCCTGTGGGCCCAGGCTGCCTTCTGTCTTCCTGAGCCGCAGGGCGCTGTGGCCGGGCCCAGTGGTTTGGCAGCACTCGCCCCTCATCCTTCACCATCTCTGCTGGTGTCGGTGGTGGCCAGGCCCCGGCGGAACACGAGCAGTGCACGGGGCTTTCCGGCTGGGAGAGGCTTGCGTGGGAGGCCAGGGAACAAAACCCAGGAGAGGAAGAGCGAGGAGCTGAGATTTCATAACCTCCCCGGGGCATCATGTTACCCCTTGGAGAGGTTCCTGTGGGCTGCCTCCCACACCTGTCCACTCCCTGCAGGAAGGCGCCCTGGGGGGTGGGGGCAGGGGCCAAGGGCGGGTGGTTGCTTCTACATGCCAGGCCCTGGAGGGCACTGAGAAAGGGAATCTTTGGAGAAAATCTACACACACAGAAGATTCTAGAGGCACATTTAAACTGGGTCTTGCATTACGCACCTTCATGAACCCTTGAAGAAAAGCAGAAAGAAAAAAGATGGAGGGAAAAGTCAAAAGAGATGAAAGAGGAGGAAATTAGACCCTCACAGAAAACAAAGGGGCCTGATACTCCAGCAGGGCAGAGCTTCCTAAACGAACACCCAGCTTCAAGTCGTGAGAGGCTCAACAATGAGTCTCCCCCCTGGCTGGCCGGGAATGAGGTGTGGGGTCAACTAATGGGAAAACCCAACACTTAAACACGTTCTGTGCAGTACGTGCTAGGAAACGTGATGTGTTTAACACTCGTGGTTTTGTGGCAGCCTCCCAGAGCCAACATTTAAAAAAAAATTAGCCCTTCAATATTGTCTCTTCAGCTAAACTATCGAATTCATTACACAGCTTGGTGCAGACACCTGGTCAGGACGGGCGGGGTGCAGCAGCCATCGGGGCTCTGGGGATCGGGAGAGAGGCCCACTCAGGAGGCGAGCGGCGGGCTGCCCAAGAAGGTGCCTGTGTGCCCAGAAAGGGCAGCTGACTGACCCCAGGGTGGGGCCGCCCCGTGTGCACAGAGCGCGGTGCCCATGGGACCCACTGGGTGCCCGGTTCCAAGCCCACGCTACAGCTGCTGTCCGTCCAGCACTTTGAACCGTTGGAGAGAAAATCCTGGTCCCCGTCACTTCTTTTCCAGCCTGCACCTGCCTAGAACCTCCCGTCCTGAGTACCTGGCCCAGGGTAGTGGGAATGAGGCCCCAGGTCGGGAAGCAGGCTCCGCAGTTGCGGGGAGCGGGCCCTGGAGGGGTGAGCGCAGGAGCGGCTAAGAGTGCCTCAGCGGGGTCTCTGCCGCCGGCATTGCCAGCGAAATCCAGTCTGGGGCGTGGCAGGGGAAACGTCATTCAGCTAAACAGTCTGCAAAGCCCGGAGAAGCAGCCCCTAGCAGAAGCCGAAGGGGTGCTCCACTGAGATGAAGGGGGGCCAGTTGCTATGAAGTCCCCACCCTGATCCCAGATTGACCCATTGCAAATGAGGAGTCCAGATTTGTAGTCTGGTCCTAATAGCACTGTGCTGATTGGCCACCTTCTCGTGTTCTGATTGGTTGCTATGGAACAGCTCTGATTGGTTAGTAAGGATGCAAATGAGTTCCAGCTATGTAGTTGCGATTGGACAGGCAGGTCTCGGCCCATTGGTGGAAACACAATACCAGGAACTCCTTCCAAGGGTGGAGCGGACAGGCAGGGCCCAGTGTGGACCCAGGTTCCTGGGCAGTTTTCCCCAGAAGGCAGCCTGGTGGCCACGGCTGCCAGACTCTCCTGATGAGGCTGGACCCGGTCACCACGGGGACCTCGGCAGGTGTGTGCCTTCTCGGGTCACCGTGCAGCACTGTGTCTGCATTCAGACAGCTCAGGGCTGGCCTGGCCGGAGCCCTTGGCCCCGGGGCGGCCCATGCACAGGGCCTTGGCGGCTTCCTGCTTCCCCAGGGGTCAGCGAGTGTGTTCGGAGCTGTTCCGTAGGCTCAGCTGTGAGACCGGCGGTTGTGGCTTCTCGGAGGGACGTTGGGAGGCTGGTTAATGAGTGTTTACAGGTACACAGGAATCTGAAGACAACAGCTCTGAGGAAGGGCAGGTGGTCATGACCATGCTACTGCTGATGGGTCAGCTCCCGGGGCCAGGGTGTGAACGCTGCCATCCGCAGGGCCCTGGGGGTGCACGGCCAGTAAAAAAGAGATTAACACACAATCACAGAAAAATTCAACAGCAGAGAGGGATTCGTTCGTATTCAAAACTGTGGTCAGGGAGAACATGGCACCAGCTCACTTTATTCCCCGGCTGCTCACAGAGCGGCAGGTGGCGTGGGGATTACCGCTGCAGGTACATCTGTGGAACCCAGCGCAGGGAGAGGTGCCAGAGCCCGCAGGTGGACGGGCCGGAGCGGGAGGCTGGAGGGGAGGACCCGTGCGTCTGGCCTGCAGAGAGCTCCAGCCCCTGGCCGCAGGGCTCCACGGGTGGGATGTCCTGAGAGTCTGCGTGGTCACAGGCAGGCATGTTGACCTCGGTAAGCTGGAAAGACATCATGGAACACTGGGGGGTAAAGGACTTCAGACAGTCTCCCTGTGAAGGGTTTGTCCTTTTCTCTAAAGGAGTGGACCCCAGCAGGAATTCACATCGACATTCCAGTCAAGTGCCTGCTGAGGAGGAAGCAGGTCAACACCCACAGGACCTGGCCACACTTCAGGCCGCCTCTGAGCCCTCTGGGGACCTCAGACATTGCTCCAGCACATCTGGCCGGCCAGTGCCATCCACTGCTGGCCAGCAAGTGTCCTGGAGGTCCCAGTGTCATAGGCATAGACACATCTGCCAGTGAGCCCCCAAGGCTCTGAGCCGGGCCTTGGGTGGGGGGTGCTCCTCCTCCAACGCTACCTGGACCCCTGGTTGGCAAGACACCCAGAGAGCTCACCAGGGTGTACACATGGTGGGCACACAGATATGTAGGTGGGTGATATTAGTGGAGATGGTGATAACATACACACGCTAAACAGATTCATCACTGGAAGGAACCAAAAAGGGGAGATTTTTTTATAAGACCCTAACTGGCCCAGTGTTGGGGGATCCATTTTGAGATAAGCTGAAACCTCCAAGGAAACCCAGTGATCACAGTGGGCTGCTGGCTCAGCAGGGCTCCTGGTGTCCAGGTGTCTGTCTCAGGCGATCTGGATCACGCTGGCCGTAGTGTGCAAGTGGTCAGCACCCGTTGGTGGCAGCGCCAGCTCACCTGTCTGCTCTGCCTGGTCTCACCCTCCCTGCAGCTACTACATACTGGAAAACAGACCCAGGAACATCTACGGCATGGTCTGCTACTCCTGCCTCCTGGCACCGCCCAACACCAAGGAATGTGAGTACTGCTGTCCTTCCACCGCATGGTGCTGGTTCAGTGTGATGTCCTGCATCACATAGTATGGTCGACAGAAGCCAGTCCTGGCACCGGGACAAGGTAAGTACAGTGAAGGCATAAACATGCTCCGTGGCCTGACCAGTCAGACAGCAAGTCTGTGAAAGAGGTTTGCTATGGCCGAACTATGAGTCAGAGACTCGGGTCAGTCACCTTGGCAGGTGACCCTGAAAAAGTCTCACCACCTCTCTGAGCTTCCGCTTTCTCATTTGTAATTGTGGGGTACTGAATCACCCACGGCATGCCATTCTCAGACAAAACTGAGATCGCAGAGCCAAGGTATTTTGAAAGCACTACAGAGGTTTAGACCATGGTTAGTTCTCATAGACTTTTTTAAAAATAAAAGCTGGCCCTTAACTGCTCACCTGGAAACGGCACCCAGTAAGGCCTCCTAGTGGTCCGTACAGTCCAGCCCTGCAGGAGGCCACCAAAGAAAGTGGAACCTCTACTTGCCCATCTGGGAAATGGGGAGTTGCAACCAGACAGGCTGTGTGGGGTGGCATGTGAATGGAGCCCTGCCCAGGTCAGCATCTCCAGTGTGGACATGAACGTTTCTCTCTCCACTTCTGGGGTCTCCACAACCCCCTGCTCAGGGCTCCAGGTCAGTACGACCACAGCCTCCATGAAAACCCTGAGGCCCAGCTCACAGGACTGCCGTTAGAGCCCCCGCCAGCAAACCCAGGGACTGGTCACCTCCCTGCCCAGGCCCTCCAGGCTCTGCCCTTCCTGAGCCTTGGTCAGCGGTTGAGAACAGCTTTGCCCCCACCTGAGACTCCGGTTTGGTTTGGTTTGGATGCGATGTACCTGGGCCTTCGCCATGCAAACCGAATGCTCTTGAGGCCCAATCTGTGGGAAGTGAGTCACACCTCCCACCGTCCCAGAGGACCGGGCACAGACGCCAGGGGGTGCGTGTGAGGGCTGTGGAGTGGGGGGGGGGGGCTCTGCAGGGGGGAGCCCTGGATGGCACAGCCCGACTTGGCCTGGGCTCTCCTCCACTGCAGGCGGTCTCCTTCCTGCGCTCCATCCTTAGAGACACGGCCCAGATTCTCATCAGAGCCCTGATTCGGCACACTCGGGCGGGGCTGAGAATGTGGGCTCACAGATCCCTGGGGCTGCCAGGACCTCGCTGAGAGCCCTGATGTGGGTTATGGACCCTGCTCCGGCACCTGGGCCTGGGTTCCTCGGCTGCAGAGACGCCCACCTCCCTGGCTGTGGTGCAGCTGGATGGAGCTGCTCCCACAGGTGCTGCCTGGTCATGGTGCTGTGGCCCATCCGAGTGCCCTCGGGACAAGGGCAAAGTGCCACGGTTACCGTTCATATGGAAAACATTCTCGTCTGGCACCACCGAGTCGTGAGAGGGAAGCCAGAGGGCAGCCACGGGCACCACCGGCCCTGCCTTTGGGCAGTCGTCCCCTTCATGCAAGCAGGCACGTGGAGCCTGGGACAGAGTCTGGTGGAGCCCAGGGACCGCAGAATGCTTGACGCCACGACCTCCTCGGCTTCTGTTTTCTCTCCTGAATGACAAGTGTCAGGCGAGTTCTACATCAACCATGGAGTGCGGCAGGGACGCCCGGGGATCCCAGAGCTTGGAACTGGGCCTCCTCCTCTCCGGCTTGTGACCGGCCATCGGGAAAGCATCAGGCCTTTCTCCGGGTTCTGCAGCCACAGGGCACAAGCCCAGCCTTCGTCCCGTCCCTCCAGTTCATTCGTCCGGCAGTCCGTTCATGTTCTGGAAGCGAACGGAGAAGCTGGTGGTTACTCTGCTGTCACATGGAAGAGCACGCCCCCTGGTGCGACCACAGCTGTTTTCCTGGAGTGTGCTGAGGGCCTCCTCAGAAGGGAACCTGTCGTGATGGCAGAGAGGTGCCAGGTGAGAGAGAAGAGAGGGGCTGGCATCAGATGTGGGTTCGTTAGAGTTTCTGCTCTTGGCACGTTGACCTGACTCTGCACTTCAGTCTCCTGTCTGTGAAGGGGGGAGAGGCAGTGACACGTCAGGGTGCCCGTGGCACGTAGCACGTGGCACACTTTGGCCAGCGGCTGAGCCTGGCCCTGCCCAGCCTGGACTCTGCAGCTCCGCCTCGTCCAGCTGACCTCCTGTGCCTCGGGGTCCGCCTGGGAACGGAGCAGCAGCCCCTCCACGGAGTGCTGGAGGGGTCCGTGAGGTGACGGTCGTCCCGTACCAGCAACTGTTCCCTGCCGTCAACATTTTCATGGTCACTCGTCAGTGCCTGTGCCCCCGAGTCAAGTCCTCTGTCACCAGGAGAGCTGTTTCTCTCCGATGCCGTCGGGTGGTGCCCAACGGTGACGGGCTCCAGCGCAAAGTCCTGGCCTCCCCAGGGGCCAGTTTCCAGCTGTTTCCAAAGCAGCGTTACCCGGACATGAGTGCACATCCCCACACCAGTTCCAAGTCCACAGGCCCGCAGTGCAGAAGGCCAGTGTGCGAGACGGCAGCTTGGAGTGAGGAGAGTTTTATTGATTGAGAAGGTGCCCGCTCTCACAGATGGTTCTTCAAACTCATCTCCCAAGAGCCCAGAATGTAGGCGTCTTCTGTGTCAACGGAAGGGAGATGGGAGGGACAGGAGATGACTGACCGCTGTAGGCACAGGCCACCAACAGGGACCCAAGGAAGAGCTTGAAACCTCTTGATCTGCTGTGCAGTCTGTCTGTTGACCCTGCTGACCTGAGCTGGCCATGAAGTGGCCACCATCCCTGTACACATTTCCTCGTCCCCTAGAGAGGCACCCCCTGGCAAGAGGCTGTTTCTCCAAAAACTCTACCCCAAGCAGAATGCCTGTCATAATTAGCACGGCTGACTGGAGACAGTCAGAGAAAGGGAACTTGTCGTCCGTCACACCTTCACCAGGGGTCTTGCTAAGAAACAGGTCCTGCCCTGGCCGGTTTGGCTCAGTGGTTAGAGCGTCGGCCTGCGGTCTGGAGAGACCCGGGTTTGGTTCCCGCTAAGGGCACGTACCTCGGCTGCAGTTTGTCCCCAGCCCTGGTTGGTCGTGCGGGTGGCAGCCACTCGATGTGTTCCTTTCACATCGATGTTTCTCTCTCTCTCTGTTCCTCTCTCTCCCTCCCACTCTACCTGAACAAAAAATGGAAAAATGTCCTCGGGTGAGGAAAAAAAACAAAAAGAAACAGGTCCTGCTACAGCAGGTCTGGTGGGTTCCACAGCTGAGTTCCTGGCAAGCCTGGGGTGGGGGACCCCACTAGAGCAGCCCAGTTCTAATGACTCTGCCCGTCGTTCCAGCGTCTGCCAGTAGGGGACGCTGAGCGGTGTGGCAGCCTCTGGCACCCTCGCTGACAGCGGTGAAAATCCACAAACAAATAGCTCCTAAAACCCACGCTGCCTTCCACGCGTAGAGGATGCCAGCCCTCTCTCGTACGACCGGACCTTTGCAAGTTGCTGGATTAGCAAACCTCAAAGCTCTTGGTAAATGCTGTCATCACCTTGAATAGAGGTGCGACTGCAGTGAGCCGCGCTCACAGCTCCCAGGATCCTCGAGGGAGGTGAGCGCAGAGCCCCTGCCTGGGCTGCTGTCCACAGCCAGCCGCCTCCTCAGGCTCCACTTCCGTTTGCATAGAGCCCTTTGTGGAAAGGTCTGCCTGGGTTCTGGGACGACGGTTTCCAAAACCCTTCCCATTATAACATCTCAAAGCTGGACGCCAAGCTTGGCGGAGAGTAAGCTGACTTGGTGCTGACCACCCAACAGACAGGACGCTGACGACATTTCTTCAACGGGCCATCCTGAGGAGGCCGAGCAAGCGGCAAGACAGCACATGTTGGAACCAAGGAGGCCTCCCTGACACCAGCTACTGTTAGTGCTGAGTGAGCCCTCGTGAGACCACAGCAGGACCTGGGGCAGGAGAACGTGCTGTCCTGGGCATCTGTCCCCAAGGCAGACCCCTGGTCCTGCGCGCCCTCCCCGCTGTCCTCGGGGGGCTCAGCACACGGCAGCCCGGCTGTTCGGTGGATATAGCTGGAGTTCACTTTGGGGGAATGTCTAGTAAGCCAGGCTGCCCCGAGCATGGCAGGGCGTTGGGCGCAGTGGGGGTGCATTGCTCAGTGGACCGGTGCAAAGACACTTCATCTAGCATGCTGCTAGACTGCGCTCTCTGCCCCTGTCCTGACCGCAGACCAGCCTCGGTCCCCCAGCTCAGCCAACAGGAGAGACAGAAGACAGAGCACAGAGCGGGCCCACGGGAGTCTTTTCCTAACTAAAGCTGATGGCCCCTGACCCTCCCCGCGCAGACGAGCTGCGTGTTCCATGTCCAGTTTGCTCAAGGCTCAGCCACGCCCAGTGTCTCCTCTCGCTCCCCTGGGTCGAGCTGGGCAGGCTGCCCCCCAGTACGGTGCAGCCAGGGCTGAAAGTCTGAGGTCAGTGCACCTTCTGGAACTTTCAGGGAACTGTGGAGTGTGGATACCTCCAGACCGGTCCCGCCACCGTGGGCAGCTGGGGGAGAGAGGCACCCCTCCCTGGGAGCACCCACCTCCACCAGCGTGGGCCCGATGGGAAGGCCCGGCCAATGTAGTCTCATCTAAGTTGTGGGCTAGCACACGTTGGGGAGTAGGGCAAGGCTGAGAAGTCTCGGCTCTGGACACCAGCGGAGGCCGTTCTCGGAGGGGGCGGTGCGGAAGCCGGGAGAGGAAGAAAGAAAAGCCACACCTTCCAGCTGTTCTCAACATTCCTCCGCCTCCCGGCTCCGCCCCGCCTCCCGGCTCCGTCCCACCTCCCGGCCCCGCCTCCTCGCTCCGCCCCGCCTCCCGGCTCCGCCCCACCTCCCGGCCCCGCCCCGCCTCCCGGCTCCGCCCCTCGCCCGGCCCCGCCTCCTCGCTCCGCCCCGCCTCCCGGCTCCGCCCCTCGCCCCGCCTCCCGGCTCCGCCCCTCGCCCCGCCTCCCGCTCCGCCCCGCCCAGCACCTCACAGCAGGGACACAGGTGCCTGGCACCGAGGACCCCTCTGTTCTCAGCGGGTCTCCCAGGTTTGCGTCGGCTCGGGGCGCGGCTGCTTGCTGTCAGGCCCCCCCCCCCCCCGGGTGGGACAGTGAAGAAGGCATCCCCACGCCAGCAGCCGAGAAACGAGGAAATCAGCAGGGCCCGCGGGGCGCCCTCGGCCGTGTGAGACCGGCGGGGCAGGGCAGGGCTCCCAGAGGGGAGGCCCTGAGCCCTGGGAGGGGCAGTCTCCAGAGACGCCTGGCCCAGTGAGCCGGTATGAGCCCCATGGGAAACGGCTCTGAGAGTGAGCCGAAGGACGGAAGGACAGCCTGGCCACCTCCCCAGGGAGAGCCCGCACCCCTCACAGTGCTCCCTTAAGCACCTGCCTGTCTGCCCCTCAGGTGGCAGACCGTACGACTTGGCCCCTGGCAGTGGTTTCCTGCCAGGAACAGCTGGCCGGCCCTGCCGAGGGCAGTCCCGGTGAGGGCAGGCCTGCCGGCTCCCTCCCACACCGCCACCCTGTTTTGCTCCTAGAGTTTCTCTCTGTTTTCAAAGGTGTGAGTGTCAAACGGTTCCTGGGGCCTTCTCTGCCCACCGGACACCAGAGTGGCATAACCCGGCAGGACCTCAAGTCCAGCTGGCGTGGGCACTGTCGCCGGGGTTTCCCAAGACGTGTACCTTAGAAAGTGTGCCTTAGAAAGACTCTCCCAGAGGAGGCTGCTGGTCCCCGAGAACCTCTGTTAAAGGCACCCCGTTTCTCACGGGAACCCTGCCGACCAGGGCACAGCGCTGGCGCCTGCTGCGGGGACCGGCGTGCCCTGTTTTAGGGACGACATGCACCTGTCCTTGCTCAGGACAAACCCACTTCCCCAGGTACTTCAGAACCGGCAGAGACGAACGCCAGACAGGAGGAAGCTTGTCTGAAACACGACCACGTTTCTCCACTGCAAAGCTCAAGTCCGGCCAACACACCATGGACAGCAGGACGCCCTCTCCTCTGTGGCAGAACGTTTTGTTTGTTTGAACTGAATGACTTAATGATCTGTCTGATCACAGGTCAGCGTCCAGGTGGCCGCAGCGAGTCTGTACGGAGAACAGGAGCTGAGTGCTTCACCGTTTGGGGAGAAGGCCAAGCTCACCCTGCTCTTAAACACTTTGGTCACAGCTATGTAACAAATGTATCATGTGTCAGGCCAGTGTGGCTCAGTGGTTGAGTGTTGACCTGTGCACCAGGAGGTCGCCGGTTCGATTCCTGGTCAGGACACATGCCCAGGTTGTGGGCCCAGTACCCAGTGGGGGGCATGCAGGAGGCAGCCAATTGATGTTCTCTCTCATCGATGTGTCTGTCTCTCTCTCCTTCTCCTTTCCTCTTTCTCTAAAATCAATAAAGAAAAAGAAAAGAAAAACATATCATGCAAAAATCCTAAAGAAAAATACACCAAAAGGTCAACTTTTTTTCCCCTTTATTGATTTTAGAGAGAGGAAGGGAGAGGGAGAGAGAGATAGAAACATCGATGAGAGAGAACATCGACTGGCCGCCTCCTGCATGCCCCCCACTGGGGACTGGACCCACAACCTGGGCATGTGTCCTGACCGGGAATGGAACCGGTGACCTCTTGGTGCATGAGTCAGCACTCAACCACTGCACCACACTGGCCGGGCAAAAGGTCAACTTTAGACAGTGGCTGTGGGTGACTCTTTCACTTTTTTCTTATGTTCTGGTTTTTTTCTCGATGTTTCAATGATGAGTATATTTCCTTGTATAACTGTGTGCGTTCCTGGGCCCTGCCAGCCATCGCGGTCTGGACCTCAGTCAGGAGCTCCACCCCGGCGCTTGTGTGTAGTGTTGCGGTTCTGTGGTCGTGCCAAGGAGCCCTCAATGACTGTTCTCCTTGCAGGTGCGGGGGCCCCCTCAGGGGTGTCTGCCAACTTCCCCAGCACCGCTGGCAGCAGCACCCTCTCTCCCTTCCAGCGCGCCCACAAAGGTAGGCAGGGTGCCCGGTGCCAGCTTTCTGGGGTTAGCCCCTAGATGTCCGTGGGCGGGGTGGGTGGCTGAGAGGGAGAGAGGAAATCATTATCGGAAGTGACCAGGAAGCTCTTCTGCACTTCAGATCACCTCCCCAGTGTGATGTGATCATAGGCGACACCCCCAGCCGCTAGGCGTTAGGAATGTCCCTGGGAGGAGCAGGGCGGATGGCCTTGGGCGTCCTGGCCCATTCGGACACACTGGTGATGAACGCCCTGTCCCAGGGCAGCCAGCCGGCAGGCGGCTCCGACAAGCGTGGCCAGGGCAGCAGGGGCCGCTTCCTGGGCTTCGGTTGGGTCCGATGTCAACAGCGATTCTGCTGCAAGCTTCCATATGAACCTGCTGATCTCAGCATTCAGTCTGTTTCCAGTAACTGCGTTTCACCCCCAGTCCCTTTGGGATGACGGGTGGAGAAGGACCCCACAGGTCCAGCTTCCCTCAGAGCGAGACCTCACCCTGGCGGCTGGCTCCCTCTCGCACTCTCGTGCCGTCTTTACTTAAGATGCTCGCGGCTCAGGCCCACAGCGAGGCGGCCGTTGCCTTCAGATGCCCACAGTGCTTGCCCAAGTGGGGCGCCCAGGGCCAGCACCCCGGGAACAGCTGAACACACCCAAACCAGGGCACTGTGGAGCAGCTGGGCTCCGCCTCGCCGAGACCAGCAGGGGACTCCTGGGCGGGACGCACGGGATGGCCAAGGAAGGTGTAGGGCTGGGCTCAGCCAGAGCAAGCGTTCGGACTCTGAGGGGCCCCGGGAGGAGTCCCAGGGGCAGGGCCATTGTTTAGGGGGGCCATGAAGGAGAAAGGGCCCTGCTGAAGGGCGGGTTCCTGTGGGGGCGCTTGAGCCTCATTGCCTTCTCTCCCTAACTTCAGCCGAGCTTTCGGGCCAAGGACACCTGGCCACAGCCCTGATCATCGCCATGTCCACCATCTTCATTATGGCCATCGCCATTGTCCTCATCATCATGTTCTACATCATGAAGGCGAAGCCGTCCGCGCCAGGTGAGGCTCCCCTCGTGCCCCCCCCACAGCAGCACACACGCCGGTCGGTGAGCCTGGCCGCTGACACCCTCTCTTTCTCCCCCAGCCTGCTGCACCAACCACTCCGTGAAGAGCGCGGAAGCCCAAGTGAGCCAGGAGGGGGAGGAGAAAGAGGTCCCAGGTCAGCACCTGCCCCACGCACATGGGTGTCCGCCAGTCCTCGCGCTGCCCCGCAGCCTGGCCTCCCCCTTGACACGGGCCGTGGGCGGGGTGTCCGCCCTGCTGTGCTCAGTCCTGAGGCTGCTGCAGGGGCATGAGCAGCGGGCCGGCTCGGGCTGCAGCCCACCCTAACCCCCGTCTTCCTGTTCACCTGCAGACAGGGTGGTGATCTTCTCCGAGAAGGACGAATTTGAGAAGCTGACGGCAACTCCGGCGAAGACCGCCAAGAGGTATGTCGGAGCGCGGCAGCCCCATCCCGCCGAAGGCCGATGAGCAGGGGGAGCACCGTGCATTTTCGGAAATGAGGTTGGGAGGCTGGCTGAGCCCAGCGGTGGCAGGCCGGGCCGGGCGCCTGGCTCTGTGTGTGCCGCAGGCTGGGACCGACCACCTAGTGAAATAAGGCCCCTGAAGGAAGAGGTTTGACATGTGAAGTCTGTACCATATTCACCACTCACACACGGGGTGTGGAATCAGCCCCGGCTCTTACATCCAGGGTGAAGGGAAGGAAACTTTATTTTTCAGTCCTCACCCAAGGATATGTTCCCATCGGAGAGAGAGAGAGGGAGAGAGAGAGAGAGAGAGAGAGAGGGAGAAACATTGATGTGAGAGAGAAATACTGATCGGTCGCCTCCCACACGCACCCTGACCAGGGATGGAACCTGAAACCAGGTGTGTGTCCTGACCAGGAACCGAACCCGCAAGCTTTCTGTGTGTGGGACGATGCTCAGCCCACAGAAGCACACGGGCCAGGGTGGGAAGTAAACGTTTTATCGAATGGTCCCTTGAATGGTCCTTTGGACCTAGTCCTGTTTGGGTTCCAAAAATTCGCCCCATGGGAGTGGTCCCCCCCACAGCAGATGTCACCCCACGGACGTGGCCCCCCACGGCAGATGGGGGCACAGAGGCCGTGGGAAGTCCCCAAAGAGCTACCACGTTGCTAGGGCTCTGGCATCTGTGAGCCCTCGGCCACAGGGCAGCTCAGCGGAGAGCCCACGTTCCTGGCAGGCAGGGGCACGCTGAACCGCGAGGTCTTCGCATGGCCATCCCGTAGGAAATGCCGTTTCCGCTGAAGGCCTGTGTTGCCGATGATCACTTTCAACCCCAACATCTGCGCTCTGAGCAACCTCGTGCAAGGGTGTGCAGGTCCGAGCCGTCGACAGCAGGACCCGGCTGCCAGCTGTGGGGCGGGGGCCTGCTCTTCGGGGTGATTCCTGGAGACAGGTGGCCCCTCCGGCCGTCATCTCTCTGGTCCCCTGATGTCAGCCTCTCTCTGTCTGTCCTTCCAGCCTTTTCTGGTTCTCAAGAGGAGGAAAGAAAAGGAATACTGAGAGGCAGGGACACATCCTATGACTTGTTTCCTCCAGAGCAGTGGTTCTCAACCTTCCTGGCGCCGCGACCCTTGAGTACAGCTCCTCCTGTTGTGGTGACCCCCAACCATAAAATCATTTTCATTGCTACTTCATAACTGTAATTTTGCTACTGTTATGTCTTAGGTGACCCCTGTGAAAGGGCTGTTCTACCCCCAAAGGGGTCGTGACCCACAGATTGAGAACTGCTGCTCTAGAGACGAAGGAAATATTTGGAACCCTGCCTGGAAAAATCATGCTTGCTTCATACACGAATGCTAAATAAAAATGAACTCAACAGTGTGTCTTAAAAGACAGAGCATTGAGCTCTCTCCCCCTCCGCCTTTTGGGTCCTAGGGAAGGGCCTGAGGCCCCTCAGGGTCTGGGGACAGTCTGCCTGCCCACCGTGCCTGCCCCCAGGTGGGACAGCAGCTGCCACCCCCCGAGGCTGGAGCCTCAGGGTTGCCCACCGTCTGCGCTCACTTTGCATCATCCTGCCGCTAGGGCTGTGCCCAGATCAGCAAATGTCGTTCTTCAGCCAGACCATGGGAACCAGCAGGACGCCTGCTGAGAACAGAATGTTGGCCCGGCTGGTGTGGCTCAGTGGCTGAGCGTCGACCCAGGCACCAAGAGCTCACCGGTTCAATTCCCGGCCAGGGCACATGCCCAGGTTGTGGGCCTGATCCCCAGTGGGGGCATACAGGAGGCAGCTAATCAATGTTCTCTCTCATCGATGTTTCTATCTCTCTCTAAAATCAATAAAGAAAAAAAACTAAAAAAAGAACATTGTTTTCATCTATTTGGAATGATTTTGAGGTTAGAGCCTCAACCCACATGTGCTCAGGGCCAGGGCTAGCAGCGAGCAGTGGTGTGGCTGAGCCGCCTGCCTTTCTGTGTGGGTTCCTGAAGCCCTTCACTGTGGCCCTCACCCCATGCAACACACATCTCAGCCGAGCCCCCCAGTCAGGAGGGGCTCCCCAGGCTCAGGCTCTGTTCCGTGCTGTTTGCATTATCCCACAAATTCCGTGCCAGCTGCACCAACGTGTCTGCTCCACGAAGACAGGCTGAGCTCTGGCACATGCTCTGGATGAAACATAGGATGGCTCCGATGCCACCCCAACATTGCCGCCCTGTGAGCCCTGCACACGCCCTGCGGCCACCCTGCTCCGACCTCCTCCTCTGGGAAGGAGCACAGAGCAGGCATGTTCTCTCCTCTCGTGTCCCGCACCCCGTGCCCACGAGCTGCTCAGTAAATGCTTGAGAAACCAGCCCCAGCGTCCTGACCGCCTGCCACCAAAGGACGTGCCCAGGCTGCCCCTTCCCAGGGCCGTTAACACACCCCTTTCTGTCCCCACAGCGAGAACGACGCCTCGTCTGAGAATGAGCAGCTGCTGAGCCGGAGCATGGACAGTGACGAGGAGCCGGCCACCGACAAGCAGGGTTCCCCTGAGCTGTGCCTGCTGTCGCTTGTGCACCTGGCCAGGGAGAAGTCGGCCGCCACCACCAAGTCGGCCGGGGTGAGGCGCTGGCAGCTGGGCACACACCCTCCGATGCACTGGGTACAGGCGAGGGGCCTGCAGACCCCGCTGTGCGCCCTGACCCCGCTGTGCACCCTGACCCCGCTCGCCCTGACCCCGCTGTGCACCCTGACCCCGCTCGCCCTGACCCCTCTGTGGGCCCTGACCCCTCTGTGGGCCCTGACCCCGCTGTGCGCCCTGACCCCACTCGCCATGACCCCGCTGTGCGCCCTGACCCCGCTGTGGGCCCTGACCCCTCTGTGGGCCCTGACCCCGCTGTGGGCCCTGACCCCGCTCGCCCTGACCCCTCTGTGGGCCCTGACCCTGCTGTGCGCCCTGACCCCGCTGTGGGCCCTGACCCTGCTGTGCGCCCTGACCTCACTGTGCACCCTGACCCCGCTCGCCCTGACCCCACTGTGCACCCTGACCCCGCTCGCCCTGACCCCTCTGTGGGCCCTGACCCTGCTGTGCGCCCTGACCTCACTGTGCACCCTGACCCCGCTCGCCCTGACCCCTCTGTGCGCCCTGACCCCTCTGTGCGCCCTGACCCTGCTGTGCGCCCTGACCCCTCTGTGCGCCCTGACCCCGCTGTGCGCCCTGACCCCGTTGTGCGCCCTGACCCCTCTGTGCGCCCTGACCCCGCTGTGCGCCCTGACCCCGCTGTGCGCCCTGACCCCGCTGTGCGCCCTGACCCCTCTGTGCGCCCTGACCCCGCTGTGCGCCCTGACCCCGCTGTGCGCCCTGACCCCGCTGTGCGCCCTGACCCTGCTGTGCGCCCTGACCTCACTGTGCACCCTGACCCCGCTGTGGGCCCTGACCCTGCTCGCCCTGACCCCGCTGTGCACCCTGACCCCGCTGTGGGCCCTGACCCTGCTCGCCCTGACCCCGCTGTGCACCCTGACCCCGCTGTGGGCCCTGACCCTGAAAGCCCAGGCCCGCAAACCTAACGCAGTGATGGGTCTAAAGCAAGATATTTACAAAATAGAAAGTGTATTTCTCTTAACTGGCTTCATAGAAAAAACTAAAAGATAATAAGCAAAGATGAAAAGTTCACAAAACAAAGACAAAAAGTTAGAGAAAATCCTTTGTAAACACGGCCCTGTATCCAAGCACACATATAATGTTAACTAGAACTATTTCTGTAGTTGTGTGTATAGCTATGTGAATACATGGTTACTATCGACCTAGAACGCACGTTTTCGTGTAAAAATGCTCCACATGGTGTGTCTCCTGAAACAGGCCCCCTCGGAACGTGCCTTGAGGGGTGCGAGGGTGAGCCGAGCCGGCCCCCCGGCTGCCTGAGCGTCTGGCGTGGGGTTCGCTGGCAGCCTGGTCCAAGCACCAGGTCAACCACGCCGCTGGGCAGTGCTGCCCTTGGGGAAGTGTCCCTGACGGAGACACAGAGTCTGGCCGGGTGTTGACGGGACATCGTGCTCTGGGCTGCCCAGTCCGGTGACCTCCGCAGTGGGGCCTGTCCCTGGCAGAACCCTGGGGGCCCAGGAGTGGGTACGAGAGGTTGATTCCAGGGGCTGGGACCTCTCAAGCAGGGCAGCTCCCACACCTGTCCGTCAGGGCCCTCACTGAGTGGCTGCCTGCTGGAAGTGGGGTCCCCAACATGTGAGGCCAGACGTGGCCTCCGGTGTCTGAGTGTAAATGTCCGGGGGAGCTGCCAAGCCCCCAGCGGGCACTGAGGGCACCTGAGCTGGACAGCCCGAAGAGAGGCGTCCTGTGAATCGTGGGTAAGACGTCCGTGTGAGGACTGACTCAGCGTTTCTGGTGGGAAACCGGGGGGAGCCCGCTGCCGACACGGAGGGGGCTCGGTTCACTGCTGGCCGCCCTTCCCGCCTCGGAGCAGTAACACCTCTGACCGTTTCCGTAGATTCTGAGTCGACGGAAGAAGATCCTGGACGTGTATGCCAACGTGTGTGGAGTTGTAGAAGGTGAGCACACAGGGCTCCTGGCCCAACAGCACCCCAGGTTTCTCCCCCGCCGCTCACCGCGCGAGGAGGTTCCTGAGGGGACCGAGGGCTCGTGCTGCCCTGAGGGCTGGCCGAGTGGACTTCCCGGCATTGCCTGTCACCCTTCCCTCGCAGGACAAGGGGCCAGTGTTCACCCAGCACAGGCCTTGCTGCAGGGACCCTGGCGTCGGGACCCAGGTGTTCTAGAGGGGCAGGGCTGGGGTCCTCCGTGCCGCCAGATGCTGCCTCTCCATTGGCGTTATCATCTTCGAGGTCTGACCATCACCGCTTTCCCAGGACATTACAGCCTTCCTGTCCCCTCCAGCAGCTCCTGGTGTGGGACAGTGTCCCTAAGCAGACGGAGTCGGACTGCACCCAGCTGCGGTTGGGGCGTGGGCAGGGAAGAGACGAAAGGACTGAGTATTTCTATCTGAACCCAGAACCCACACTCTCAGTTTCTTCCCAATGAAGTCTCTAAATGACCATCATATTCTCCCAGGAGACCAAACCCTCATCCCCGAGGTCAGGGAATTTTCCTCAGCTTCATCGGGCCTCCTGGCTCCGTCTCACTGGCCCGTCCGTGGACGCCCCGTCTGCCCGGTGCTCACTGTCGTCTGCACGTGGGCCCGCCCCGCTCCCTGAGCCCGGCAGGTGGACTGGCTGGGTGCTCTTTGGTCAGAAATGGCTCCTGAGGGTGCGTGCAGGGGCCGAGAACTCTGTGAGCTGTGTGTGCACTGCGGATCTTCCATAAAGTCACCCCGGCCGCCCATCTGATCGCGCTAGTGGCTGGGAGGGATCAGCTGCCCAGTGGAGGAGGAGCTAAGGTTTTCGTATTATCAGCCTAGAAAGCTCTTCTCTGCTCCAAAGGTGTGTTTTCAGAGTTCCTACCCCAGGGCACTGGTCAGTTTGGCTCAGCAGTGAGAGTGTTGGCCTGCAGACCAGAGTCTCGGGTTTGATTCCAGTCAAGAGCACGTACCTCGGTTGCAGTTCCGTCCCCGGCCCTGGTCGGGGTCATGCAGGAGGCAACCAATCGATGTGTCCCTCTCACATTGATGTTTCTCTCTCCCACTCTATCTGAAGGCGAATGGAAATATCCTCGGGTGAGGATTTAAGGGAAGAAGAGCAGTCATACCGCAGGGACAGCGTGGGTGAGGGCGATGCAGAGAGGGCCTGCAACTGCCCAGCTTCTCCAGGGGCAGCACCTTCCGAGCCACCCCTCAAAGCCACAGGCAGGACACTGACATGGATGCGGTGAAGACAGCCCGTCCGCCACCTCAGGGATCCCTCTGCTCACCCTGCATAGCCATAGCCACTTCCTCCCCCCGCCCCTCCTTAGGCAACCACTCATTTGTTCTTCATTTCTATAATGTCATTTCAAAAGTGTTATGTAAATGGAGTAGTCATGCCCTGCTGTGACCTCTTGCAAATGCCTTTTTTCCATCAAGGGAAATTCATTGGCGGTTCATCCAGGTTGGTGTGAGGACTGTGATTGTTCCTTTGTATTCCTAAGTGGCAGTCTGTGCTAAGGGGGTACCGCAGGTGGTTCCATCACACATCCGTCCACTTGAGAACATCTTTGTGTTTCCAGGTTGGGGCTGTTATGGATAAAGCTGCTGGGAATATTCACTTAGAGGGTTTCATGTGAACATAAGTCATCATGCCCAGGACTGGGGGGCAGAGGGTAGATTCGTGTCTTCTAAACATTGCCAAATGGATTTCCAGAGCGGCCATACCATGGACATTCTTACCAGCCATGTGGGACAGATGCACTGTCTCCACGTGCTGGCCAGCATGCTGGGGTGCCGGACAGGTGCGCTGTCTCCACGTGCTGGCCAGCAAGCTGGGGTGCCGGACAGGTGCGCTGTCTCCACGTGCTGGCCAGCATGCTGGGGCGCCGGACAGGTGCGCTGTCTCCACGTCCTGGCCAGCATGCTGGGGTGCCGGACAGGTGCACTGTCTCCACGTGCTGGCCAGCATGCTGGGGTGCCGGACAGGTGCACTGTCTCCACGTCCTGGCCAGCATGCTGGGGTGCTGCTGTGCCTTGTTCCAGTCATTCTGATAGGCATGTGTGTTACCTCTTTGTGCTTTTAATTTTTATTTCCTTAAAGTTTGAACACATTTTCACGGGCTTATTGGCGATCTCTGTGTCTCTTCAGTGAAATGATTCTTTGTGTCTTGTGCCCATTTTCCAATTGAATTGTGTGATTTTTTTTGCTGTTGAGTTTTGGGAGTTTTTTTAATGTATTCTAGATACCAGCCCTTAGATGGATATGTGATTCGCAAATATTTTCTCTGCTTTGTAGCTTGTCTTCTCATTCTCTTTAACAGGGTCTTTCACAGAGAAAGGTCTTAAATTTTGATGTTGTATTTATCCGCTGTTTTATAGATTGTTTGTGTGTCAAGGCTAACATCTCTTTGTCTAGCTCCAGATTCCAATGATTCTTTTCTAAGATATTTTTCTAAAAGTTGTATTATTTTATACTTTGCACGAGTCCATGATCAGTTGGGTTTATTTTTACATAATATATGGTACTTAGGTTGAGGTTCCTTTCCCCCCTAGATGTCCAGTTCGCCCCACAGCATTTACTGAAAAGGCATCTTTCCTCACAGAATTGCTTTACGCCTTTGTCAAAAATCAGCTTGGGCGTGTTTGTGGGGGGGGGGGTATTTTCTGGGTTCTCTGTTCTTCGGCATGGGTTTGTGTTTCTGTCCCTCTGCCAAAACCACATAATCTTGATGCCCATATAAGTCAGATAGACTGTTCCCACTTTATTTTTTTTTCTTTGTTGATTTTAGAGAGAAGGGGAAGAGAGAGGGAGAGAGAGATAGAAACATCGATGAGAGAGAGCATTGATTGGCTGCCTCCTGTATGCCCCACACTGGGATCAGGCCCACGACCTGGGCATGTGCCCTGACCGGGAATCAAACTGACGACCTCTTGGTGCAGGGTCGACGCTCAACCACTGAGCCACACCAGCTGGGCCTACTTTATTTATTTATTTTTTTTCATTGTTTTAACTATTCTAGCTCCTTTGCCTTTTCATATAAATTTTAGAATAATTGTTCCTATGTCTACAAAATATTTTGCTGGGATTTTTATAGGAATTGCAACAGACCTGTATACCAAGGTTTGGGATATTTAACAATTATACTATAAGGAGTCTTCTAATCCATGAAATGGTATGTCTCTTCATTTATTTAGATTTTCTTTGATTTCTTCCAGCAGCATTTATGTAGTTTTCAGAATACAAGTCCTGTACATATTTGCTAGATTTACATCTAAGTATTTCATTTATTTTTGAATGATTGTAAATGATATTTTACTTTAATTTCAGTGTCTGTTTTAATTGCTAGTATAGAGTAATACAACTGATTTTTGTGTGTCTGTCTTATGTTCTCTGGCCTTGCTGAAGTCACTTATAAGGTTTGGGAGTTCTCTTGTAAACCTTGAGGTGATCACATAAATAGTCTGCAGATGGGGAGTTTGAGTTCAGTCTCTCCGACCTGTACGCCTGATCTCGCCTCACTGCAGCGGCTGTAAGTTGCGCACTGTGTTGAGTAGGAACGAGGAGGGCAGACATCCTCGCCTTGTTCCTGGATTTGAAGGGACAGCGTTTAGTTTGTCACCATGACGTATAGCACTAGCCTGGGGCTTTTTTGATAAGTAATTTACATTAATTTTCTGAGTAGATTTATATTATTTCTTAAATATTGAACCAGCCTTGCATCCCTGGAGTAAAATCTAGTTAATATGCATCTAATTCTTTTAATATATTGAATTCTATGGGCTAATATTTTGTTGAGGATTTTGTTCTACATTCATGGGGGATATTTGTCTATAGAGTTCTTTTTTTTTTTTTTTTTTTTAACTGTCTTCACCTGGCTGTGGTATCAAGCTAATACCAGCTTCACAGAATAAGCTAGAGAGTGTTTCCTCCTTTTCTCTTCCCTAGTTTTATGTAGAATTGGTGTTAATTTTTTGAATCTTGATAGAGTTCTCCAGTGGAACTATGGGGCCTATAGATTCTTCTTGGCGGGGGGTGATTTTAAAAACTACAAATCCCGCTGCCTTGGTTATGGCTAGGCTATTCGGATCGGCTGCTCCCTGCTGCTGAGTGGGGAGGCTCTGCGCTCTGACGGCTCCATTTCGTCCGAGCCGTCGTGGGGGGCTGCCGGGTCCCTTGTCACCTTCCCGACATCTGCAGGGTCTGTGATGACATGCCCTTCTCAGCTGGCTGCCACTCGTTACTTGTGTCTCGTTTCTTTATTTTTTCTTTGAAAATCTTACTAAAGATTTGTCCATTTTGTTGATCTTTTCAAAGAACTGGCTCTTTCCATGTTTACCCCTGTTCATTTTCTTTTTTCAATCTCATTGATTCAAGCTCTTATTTTTTATTATCTCCTTCCTCCTGTTCACTTTGGGTATATATTTTTTTTTTTTTTTTTTTTTTTTTTTTTCATCCTCACCTGAGGACATTTTTCCATTTTTTGTACAGATAGAGTGGGAGGGAGAGAGAGAGAGAGAGAGAAACATCGATGTGAAAGGGACACATCGAGTGGCTGCCACCCGCACGACCAACCAGGGCCGGGGACAAACTGCAACCGAGGTACATGCCCTTAGCGGGAACCGAACCCAGGTCTCTCCGGACCGCAGGCCGACGCTCCAACCGCTGAGCCAAACCGGCCAGGGCTGGGTATATTTTTTTTTCCCTCACCCAAGGACATTTTTTGCATTCATCTTCAGATAGAGCGGGAGGGAGAGAGGGAGGAAGAGAGAGAGAGAAACATTGATGTGAAAGAGATACATCGAGCGGTTGCCACCCACATGACCCCAACCGGGGCCAGGGACAAACTGTAACCGAGGTACGTACCCTTAGTGGGGACTGAACCTGGGTCTCTCTGGTCCACGGGCCAACGCTCTAACTGCTGAGCCAAACCGGCCAGGGCCACTTTGGGAATATTTTGCTAGTCTTTTTCTAGGTGCTTGAGATGGGAGCTTAGACTGAGTGGAGACTTTCCTCTGTTGTAATATATGTATTTGTGACATAAATATCCTCTCATACTGCTTTAAGTGTGTCCAACTAATGTTGTGTTTGTATTTTAAGTTACTTTTTAAAATTCTCTCTTCTTTGATTCCTGAATTATGTACAAGTGTTGTCCTCGTCCCACACCAAATGCACTGACAGTGGTCCAAGACAGAGGCCAGGTGAGTGCAGAGCTCCCAGCATGCAGTGGGAGGTCAGCCCTGCTGGGTGTTCCCAGTGCCAGGGCCTCCTGCAAGGGCACAGAGTGGGAAGTGACAGCCAGTGACCCTTCCCAGCCTGGGAGCCACAAATGGCTTTTGGTTCTGGAACCCCCAGAAAGATGGGGACCTCCACATCTTTCCTCGACCACCCCCACATATAAGCCAATTCTCTTAGAACAGAAAGACAGGGAAGCTGGCAGAAACCTAATACAGGTCTCTGAAAACGGTGTGTCTCCATTCGGAAAATAAACCAAGTCTTTAAATGTGATCACTCCACGGAAAAATCAACATAATGAACCAAATTCAATTTCTGCCAAAAATGTTTTAAAAGTGTGCTGTTTGGTTTCCAAGTGTGTGGATATTTTCCTGCTGTCTCTCTGTCACTGACTTAGTTTGGTTCCGTGGTGGTATACAGCTTCAATGGTTTTAAATTCTTTTGTTGAGGTACAAGTCCTGCACTTGAAAAGAACATGTATTCTGCTATTGGGTGGAATGTTCTGTAAATGCTGATCGGATTATTTTGGTTGGTGGTGGTGTTCTATATTGTAATTGCTCCATCAGTTACTAAGGGAGAGGAGTTGAAGTCTCCAGCTGTAATTGTGGTTTGGCTGTTGATTCTTCCAGTTGTGTGTTTTCCCCCCACATATTTTGGGACTCTGTTGTGTGATGCATACGCGTTTGGGATTGCTCTGTCTGCTTATTGAACAGACCCTTCTATCATTACGTAACGTCCCTCTGTCTCTGGTTCTTCCCTTTGTTCTAAAGTCTATTTATCGATGTGATGGCCACTTCCGTTTCTCTTCTATTAGTGTTTACACGATACATCTTTCCCTTTCTTTTACTTTCAACCTGTCCATATTATTATGTTTGCCTGAGGTTCCTGACGCATGGAGCTGGGTCATTTTTTAAATCCCATCTGCCAAGCTCTTTGAATTGGCATTTAAACTTTTTACGTTTCATGTAGCTATTGACCTGTTAGGGGTTAAGATTGCTATTGTATATTTACTGTGTGTTTAGTCTCTTTTCTTTTTCCTATTTCTCTTTGAGACACTTGAACCTATGTTAGAAATCCATTTTGGTATTTTTGAGCGATGCATCTGATGTGTTTTGAGTGAATCTTTTTTCATAGCTATTTTACTGGTTTCTGTGAGTATTATATATACATAACATGTCATTTTTTACTAGCTTCAGTGCAGTGTGTGCCCCTTTCCCCTTTCCGTTTATGGCTGTCTTATGTGTTCCCTCTACACAGAGTTAGAACCACCCCGTTACATCAGCTGACAGTCACCATTCAGGAAATCTAGAAAAGGAAGCGTATTGTATTTACCCACATTTTGCTTACTGTGTTCTTTTCTGGTGTCCCAAGGTTTATTCTTTTATTATTTTCTTTTTGTTTTTATTATTTTATTTTATTTTTTTAATCCTCACCCAAGGATCCATTTATCTTCAGATAGAGTGGGAGAGAGTAAGAGAGACACATCAGTTGGTTGCCTCCCACACGACCCGACCAGGGCCAGGGACTGAACCGCAGCCAAGGTCTGTGCCCTTGACCAGAATCAAAGCCACGACTCTTGGGTTCTCGAGCCAACGCTCTAACCACCAGCCAGGGCTCATTTCCTTTTTGTTTAGAGACATTCTTTGGCATTATTTTAGGGTAGCTTTGTGAGTAACAAATTCTCTTAGTTTCTTTTTATCTTGAGAATGTATTGATTTCCTCTTCATCCCTGAAGGATGTTTTCACTGGGTATGGGACACTGGGTTGACAACGTTTTCTCTCAGTACTGGGACACTGTGCCACTTCCCTCTGGCTCCCAGGTTTCTGCAGAATCCACTGTCAGTCTAGTTGCTTTTCCCTGTAGGTAATGTGTGGTTTTTCCCTGGCTGCATTTCAGACTTTCTTGTCTTTAGTTTTCAGAAGTCTATTTATTATTTTCCTTGGGTTTACCCTGTTTGGGGTTTTCTCAGCGTCTTGAATATGTAGGCTGTTGTTTCTTTCCAAATTTAGAAAGTTTTCAGCCTCTTATTTATTTATTTTTAAGCCCCACTTTCCTTCTCTTCGCCTTCTAGGGCCTTCATCACAGGTCCCTGGGCTCTGTGTTTTTCCATTTATTTTATCTCTGTTGTTCAGATTCAGTCATTTCTATGCTATTGTCCAGCTCACCAGCTCTTTCCTCTGTTTTTATTCTGTCATTGTGCATATCTAATGAGTTTTTAATCTTGGCTATTGTCGTTTTCAGTTCTAACATTTCCATTTGGTTCTTCTTTATATTTTCTATCTTTTGTTAAGGCTTTCCATTTTTTATTTGTTTCAAGCATGTTCGAAATTACTTTTGAAGCATTTTATCATGGCTTCTTTAAAAACTTTGTTAGATAATTTTAACATCTCTTATGTCAGTGTTGGTATCTGTTGGTTGTCTTTTTTCATTTAGTTTGTGATGTTCCTGGTGTTTGGTATGATGAGTTTTTATTGAAACCTGGACAATTTTATATCATGTTATGAGATTCTGGGTTTTATTTAAGTCTTTTGCTGTAGCTGGCTTCCTATGATACCCTGTGGCTGGGGGAGGGGCCAGCTTCTTACTGGCAGGTGCAGGTAGATGTTCAAACTTCTTTGACATCCACATGGGCTCCTTTCTGTTGCTGGTGGGGGGTGGGAACCTTCTCCCCGAGTGGTCTCCACTGACACGGTGGGGGTTGGGAGGCTTGCTACCAGCTGTCAACAAGAGAGTCCAGGCTCTCTACCTGGCTTCCCCTGAGGCCCTGGTGATGTTACAGCTACTGAGAGTGGACACCCAGACTCCTCATTCCGCCTTCACTGGCCTTGACGGTGGTGGGACCACAGTTCTGTGGTTTGGCTGTAATAGAGCAGCTATTGTCTAAATGTTTTCTTTTTGCTAAGCGTCCCTTGTCCTAGTGCTTTAATCAGAGACAACAGGCTTCTGTGGGAGGAGTTTCTGTTATTGTTGGAATTTGGATGCTGAGTCTTCCCCTCCGTGCTTTGGAGGACGAGGTAAAAGAAAACCGAGTGGACTCACAGCTGGATCGTCGCTCTAGTCCTGAGGTCCTCGCGGCCTCCTTCTCCGTCTCCCAGTCCTTTTATGTTTGCGCTGTACACAGCACCAGAGGGTTCGCTCTACTTCCCCAGAGAAATAGGGCAAAACCTGCCTATTACATCTTCTAGACGTGGAAATACATCCATTTTTTAAATGCTTCCAGGTGAGTAGAATGTATATCCCAGTCTGTGAACCACGGAGTTTTCAGTGACCTGGCTCAGGTAACACCAAGTTTGGGCTGTCTTTGAGGGCACCCTTCATCAAGGTGACGGCGGTCTGCTGAGAGGGACATGGTACTGTCAGGCAGGGCTGTTCCGCAGACGGCGGCCTGCCCCGCAGGCCCAGTGACTGCTGCGAGGGTCCGCCGGGGACGGCGGTGACAGTCAGTGTGGATGTTGTTACTTTCCTAGGAGAAAGGCCACTCGTGGGACTTGGGTTTATGCAGAGGCTTCTCCTGTGGCTGCTATGCATTTATTTTGAGTGGTTTTCTGCAGCTGTGTTTTATTTTACAATTTTCCTAAAAAGGTTTTTAAACCAGCAGTGCGCTGTGGACTGCGGCTCCCACGTCTGACTGTGGCCTTCCCCCCACAGGCCTCAGCCCCACGGAGCTGCCCTTCGACTGCCTGGAGAAGACGAGCCGGATGCTCAGCTCCACCTACAACTCGGAGAAGGCCGTGGTGAAAACCTGGCGCCACTTGGCCGAGAGCTTCGGGCTCAAGCGGGACGAGATCGGGGGCATGACGGACGGCATGCAGCTGTTTGACCGCATCAGCACGGCGGGCTACAGCATCCCCGAGCTGCTCACGAAGCTGGTGCAGATCGAGCGGCTGGACGCCGTGGAGTCGCTGTGCGCGGACATCCTGGAGTGGGCCGGGGGCGTGCCGCCCGCCTCCCCGCTGCCCGCCGCCTCCTGAGCGCCCGCCCTCTCGGGGTGCCCGCCGTCCCGTCCCGGAGCTGTGGTGCTGCCGACAGACTGCCCCGAATCGAGGCTTTCCTGCTGTGAGCAGGCGCGCGAGGCCGCTGGGCAGGAGCGGGAGGAGCTGAGGCCGGTGCGCCCGCCGCCCGCCGCAGAGCGCACGCTGCGCACGGCCCTCGGGTGGGCCGAAAACCTGGGGGCGACGCAGGTAGAGGACCGGGCCCTGTTTAAGGAGTTTGCACCCTGGTGAGAAGCAGACGTGTCTACCAACCACTTTGCTGGAAGATACCAAACGATCCGAATGAGGCGATTCTACCAAAACGAACGCGAGTTCCGAGGGGGAGATGCTTCCAGCCGCCAGGAAGAAGGCGGCGTCCTCGAGGAGCTTGGTAGCCGGCCGCGAGGTGCCTGTTCGTGAGGTCGTCGGAGTCCTCCAGCCCGCTGGTCCCTGGTGGGAGAGCCCACTCTGGAGCCTGCTCTGTGCCACCGAAGGGGAGGCCGGTGTCCGTCCCGCCGAGGAGACCTGCGGTCCCCGGTGTCTGCCCTGCGTGAGTTCTCGGCCTGACAACCTGACTGCTTTCTACTGCACACGATGAATCACCTTCCGACTCTCTTGTCCAGTCGGATGTGGCCCTCGGCAGCAGTGTTCATGGGACACACACCATTTCCATGATGTGTCAGGCTGTGTTTGCTTGAGGAGGGATAGGTGGTCACCTCTGCTCAGAAAGGGGACCGGTGACTTCCTGAGAGCCCAGCCACGCACAGTTCCCGATTTGCAGCGTGTTTGGGTGCGTGTGTCACCTGGTGCGACCGTTCGGCTCTGGCCTCCGGAACCAGTCAGGGAAAGTGGACCCTTGTGCAGGCACAGCCTGGGCTTGGACTCAAGGGACCTCGTTCTTGTTGTGCCAACTGGGACCCCTTTTTCCTCCCTCCCTAGGCCTTGGCGTGTCTTCTGCAAAGGAGAGGTCTGTCCCCGGCTCTGTGATCACAGGGACAGTGAGGTTCGGAAGCAGGAAGGAAGTGGGGCTGCAGGAAATGCCTGGCCGTCAGGCGCTCCTGGAAGTGAGCACGGCCTGAGTCACTGAGAAAAATGGGGATAAAAACGAGAAACCCGATTTCAAGTGTCCGCGGTCACTGCCATTGTCTGGCGTACATTCAGAAATGAAGTTAAGAAACTGGTCTGGGCAGGTTCCCTTCCCACACGGCCCTTGCGAAGGGCGGGGAGCCAGGGTGACCGTCACACACCAGGGCTTCCTTTGGGGCTCACTGCCGAGCTCCCTAAGGACAGATCTGACTGTGGTTACTACGAAATTAGTAACCAGCCTCTCGCTTATAAAGCAGTGTTTTTTAAAATTACAAGTTGCATGACCGAGCAGATGCTTTGGGGGAAGACACCAGTCATGCGTTCAAAGCCAGGGAGCACTGTCCCACCGATGAATGTAGAGCATGCTGTGAGAACCCTAATGAATATGTAACATCGCCTCCACTGTGTCTCTTTGCTGCTGTTTGTCAGAACCTATTTGCTATGTCCTGCAAGCTATATATGCCACGGCAAAACCAAATTCCCTTTTTAATTCCTCCCGAAGTCCTGGGTGCCCTTCCCCCTGCTTTGTGATAACGATGATGAGAGTCTCCCCTTAATCAGACTGCAACTGTCACATGTGAGGAGCACGCATTTCCGGGGTAATCGCTTACAGCTTCCTCAGAACAGCTTTCTCAGTGAAGGACCAGGGCTGTTCTCGGGCCCCCGGTGGGGGATGAGGGAGGTTCCCTCCATTCACACTGTTGAATTTGGGGGCCAGCGGTCAGCCAGCATCAGATCATCTTTTATCAACTTTCAACCTGCCATTTTTAGGGAGCTAGTTACACATAGTTACACATTTCTTTGTCTTTTACATAGTTGGAGATAAATCCAACAACAACAAAAGGTTTACTCTGATCAGCTTTAGCCTGCATAGGGGATTCAAATCAATGAGACCACATGATTAGAACTGACCAAAGCTGGGACCCCACCCTGACATTTGGTGTGGAGATGGTTATTATTTTGCTGTTCTTCAAAGCATTTAGAAAATACCCCAGGCTAGAGCTGCGACCTATAGTCAATGAAGTCTCAATTGTCAGTTTTATGTCTAATTCTGTATATATAACTTATTATATTTTATAGTTTCAATAAACAAACTAACAAAAAAGAGAGCTGCAGACTGCTGCACGTGACTTCTCTGGGGTGGGGCTGGGGGAGGAACTGGTTCGGATGGCTCTGTTCCTGGCTGCTGACTGTCTATAACAAGACTTAGGATCGGGGCCAGCCAGCTACGAAATACCTAGAATGTTAGGGCCTGGGCCGTTCCCTCAACGCAAGCAAGCATTGCAATGAGATTGTGTGGAAAACACTTAAAGCATCGCTTTCCCAGTTGCTGTATTAGTTTATAAGGCATTGATTCACTTAGCGACTGCTATGTGACACACTGCCCCAGCATTCAGTGGCTTAAGCCGACGATCCTCTGATTATTACAGCTCAGGGGCAGTAAAGGTCCTGGCTGACCTGGCTGACCTGGGCTGCTTGTGGCTCAGCTGGGGCCTCTGCCTGCTGGAGCACTTTAACAGAGAGCTCCTCCTCCTCCTCAAACCAGCCGTCACGTCCGGCACTGACAGAAGCATGCAGTGAGCGGACACACAGGTTCTTCAGGCCCAGTTCAGAACTGGAACGCCACCACCTCTAGCTCATTCTATTGGCCAAAACAAGTTATTTGGCTAACCCAAAGTCTAGGGTACAGAAATAGACCCCACCCTATCTGTATGAAGAATTGCAAGGTCCAAGAATGAAAGGTCATCATGCAACAGTCTACAGGTCTATTTGTATCCTACGGCTGCTGTGACAAGTTACCACAAACCTAGCAGCTTCAGGCAACACAAATTTACGATCTTATCATTCTGGAGGTCACAATCTTAATACCAAGTTTTCAGCAAGATTGTGGTCCTTGTGGAGATGTTAACAGAAGAATCTGTTTCCCTCCTTTTATAACATCTGTATTCCTGGGCTCATCGCTCCCTTCCACCTTGGAAGCCAACAGCCACACGGTTCCAACTGCGGCTTCCACTCCCCCTCGTTCTCTGATTCTCACCCTTCTGCTTCCTCTTTCTGGTACCAGGAGGATAACACGGGATCATCTTACCATCTCAAGATCCTTAATTGAATCACCACTGCAAAGATATTTGCCATATAATATCATATATTCACAGGTTTCGGAAATTAGGAGGTGAGCATCTTTAAGGGGCCGTAGTTCTGCCAAAGACAGTAAGTATGTAAGTGGCTGTGGAACAGAATGACGTAACACTGACTAATTATGTGAGTGCTTGTGAAATATAACACAACACGGAAGGTAAATATGTAAGTGCTGTGGCGTGAAATGACCTAACAATGGCAGTGAGTATTAAATAGTTGTGGAATAAAATGATGTAACAGTGACAGTAAGTATGTAAAAGGTTGTGGAATATTACAATGTAACAGCAACAATAAGTATATAAAGTGATTGTGGAACGTAATGTCATGACACCAACAGTAAGTATGTAAATAGTTGTGAAATAAGACAATGTAACAATGACACTGAATGTGTAAGTGGTTGTGGACTGTAACAATGCAATACCAATAAGCAGTAAGTAAGTAAATGTGGAACATCATAACATGACCCCAACTGTGAGTCTGTAAATGACTGTGGAACGTAACGACATAATGACAATAACACGGATGTCTGTGACAGCACGGATGTGGGTGACCTGTTCTTTCATGTTGGGCCTGTTTGTCTCTCCATTTTGGTTGTCTCTTTGTGTTTGTTTCTATGCACAGTAGAACTTCGGTTCTCGAACTTAATTTATCCTGGAAGGCTATTCAAAAACCAAGTTATTTTTTCCCATTAGAAATAATGTGAATTGAATTCATCCATTCCAGAGCCCCCAAATGATTCTCTTTTTTAACCTTTCTTATATCTAATACATGTCTAATGTATGTTTAATCTATAAATAAACACTTTGAAAACAAAAAGCACATTAAATGTAAATAAAATTTTAACAAAAAGTAAACTAAATGTACAGTAAAAAGAGAAAATTTAATAATAAGCAGCAATAAAAGCAAAAATACCACAAAAATATTCACAGTATAATTTCCTGAGATGTTAACATGAGTTTTAGCGGTAAAAATGACTCATGCTCACATATTCTCTCCTTCGTTTGTCACCTGAGAGTTGAGTAACTGATCATACAGGTATCAGCATGAAAGGGTTGTTGGAGAGAGTAGAAAATTGTTCATGGTGGGACATGTTTGAGAACCAAGGTTGGACTACATTAGAACTGCTATGATCCCCATTCTTTGTGGGGTGGCCTTATATACTAGGTGTCCTGTGGGACCCAGTGGGGTAGTATCCTTGATCTTTTGAGCTGGGTACTCTAGGAATGTCCCTTGTGTGGGTTATGTGGGCCCTCTTTTTGTAATTGGGTCTTGATTGCTATTGGCCCATTTGTGGAGGAAATCAACCCTCAGGCTGCTGTGAGGCTCAACCCCAATCACGGCATGCTATTCAGGTGCTGACGAAGGGGGAGGGGGAGGGGAGGAAGAGGAGAGGAGGGGAGGAGGGGAAGAGAAGGAGGAGGAGAAAAGAGAAAAATGGGGGAGGAAGATGGCAGGAGGCAGGACCAGAGGGAGGGCGAGTGTGTGAGAGAATGTGAGTGGGCGTGAGGTGGACAACCAAAACTGAGCAGGGCAGAGCTGCAGAGCAGAAGGTTTCTCTGCTGTGGAAGGGAGCAGCCTGCTACCTCAGTAAGCAGCCCTTCAGGGTGCTTCTCCCTGCGCCACGGGGAAGTCCCAACATTTTGGATGATCCCGGGTCTTCCCTGAGAGGAGGCAGTGGGAGCGGCTAGGGCCCAGAAACCTGAGCCCACTAGGACACCTGGCACCATCGGACCAGTGGACACTCTGTGTCAACACAGACTGGTGCACAGTAGTGG